TTAAAAATCATACCTTATGGCTCTAACATAGGTACATTTCATATCCACAAGACCCACTGGAGTCGCTCCCGCATCTCCCCATGTTGTTCCGTAGATTTCAGCTTTCGAATATCCTTTCGACAGCAAATGATCCACTAATCCCTGTAATAGCAGCAAAAAGTTAGCCCCGATTTACTTTAACATATCGCTTCACTTCAAAATTTTGCTTCCAACTCAATAATATCTGAGCACAGTTGGATCTGAGTTGTTTTTTTAAGAAAATAAAACCCTTCATATGGAATCAACAGGATTTTAGCGCATCGGACCACGGATTTTGCTCTTTTAGGTGAGATTTCTTTCATTCAGGAAATTTTTATTGCTTTAATATAATAATAATACCATCGATATACTCTGCAATAACTTAATAATTCGAGGGTGTCTGTTCGGTCCAAGAAAGCAGCCCAGCCCGTATTCAAGCGTGATTCATATGAAAGATATTAGGGTGAATCAAAAACACGGGGCTTGATTATTGAGGCAGGCAGGCAGGCAACTGACCTGAAATCTTGAGATCTTATTGCNTGCACTATGATGACGGCTTGATTCCGGAGTTCGTCATCTGCGCTCTGCTTTCCACCGAAACTGGCGTCCAGCCCCAGATCAGTTCGTTCCAACAATTCCACATATCCAATTCCGTAGTTGTTCTCCAGGAACGCCCGAAAATGCGGTGTGAACTCTGCCGTGCCATCGTCGGCTAGCCACAACACGCACAAGCAGAACAACACGGGCCTTTTCATGATGCAGAAAATGGTTCCTCAAAAAATATCCTTCATGTTTTTCGGATTACTCTTACTAACATTAAACTTATTATTGTTTTATCATTGTAGCCAATATTGCTAAGGTTATAATCATCGTGTTTCGTTGTGATTCCACGCAAAAGTTTTTAAAGCTTTTCTGCAGTCATTTGAGACCTTTCTGTACTCATTTGAGGTGGTTCGGAGTCCGCATTTAGTCAACAATACATTTAGTCAAATTCTGCTTCGAGCAAGATCTTAGGACTTCATTAATTTTCATTTAACAACTATCTATTCAGGTTTTTGAAACGACAATGAGACTGATAATATTAATCGATCACAATAGCGATCTATAATAGCAATTATAACAATGGTATCAAAAAATTAAACTCGCTACAATACGTCAACAACAACGGGCAAAATAATTTTAATGATAAAAAATCGATCGCAGTAAATGATAACGCTTAATCCCAGTGATAATAACGACAAAATTATCTCAAATGAAATGCTGTCACTGGAAAAAGACTAATAACAATATCAGTGAGATGAACGTAAAGGTTTTGATGAGTAGTGATTCAACAAATCACCACACTGATCTTGTCATATGCCGTAGATGGCGAATGCTGCTGCTGC